GTCTAGATATTTAATAACGGTATTAATAATTGCAATTTATAAGGGTTGTTGATATCTATCAAATAACTTATTGTTAACAAATTAATAGCAGATATGATTAAATTAAGTACCGATTATTAAATACCAATATTATAAGCTATCAAAAAAATAAAGCTAAAATGATTGTTTAATTGTTCTAATTCATAGAAATTGTAAGTTAGGTTACAATCACAAACTAAATAAAATTATGCTGAATTTGCTATGTACTAAACATCCTAGATCAACTACAACTAGCTACAAGACATGAGACCTTGTCTATTATACATTATTAATAATATATACAAACCATTGTAAGGACATGTGTCCTAATGTTTATTTTTGTACATTAAACACATGTACATTATAATCGTCATGTGATAAAAAAGGTTTGGTCTTATGGTCACCCCAATACCCAACCCCACCCCTCTCTCCCTAGACTTGGAGTGCAATAGTTAACCCTTAAACCCATTACCCTCTTATCAAAAACACACACCTCTTATAATCGTTGCGATAAATACTTTATATTTAGTTTTATATTTAATGTCTAGTGATTATAGACTGTATTGACTATTATTGAAAACCTATTATATAGTGTGTACACGGAATAAAATAAATTAATGGTTAAATTTTAATTAATAGTACAATGTTTAATATAATTATGTTATTTTATTTTAAATAATGAATTTATTTTATATTGGTTTTAATTATTCTAATTAATTGAAAAGTCATCCTAGTGCTATATACTAATAAATTGATGATTGTTTGCATATAAATTGATACGGATAAATTGTCGAGATGAATATCAATCATAATAATAGGTAAGAATTTTATTGTGATAAATTATAATAATTAATTATTAAAATGCGCTTTAAAAATAATTTTAAATTTATATTAGTTGTTATTTTTGAATTGTCTACTTGCACGTTTATTAGATAATTAATAATTATCATGATTGATTAACATGAAATTGATTTTACAATCAGGAATAGTGTGCAATACTTAAAAGTTTCATAACCAATTTTCAAAATGCAATATAGAATTATTCATACTAAACTGGTATTCACAACAATTTACTTGATAATTAAATCTTAATTTACAAGATTTACATTAACCAAATGTTTCCAAACATTCATGTATTGGAATATTTATTATAAATCATCTATAAATTAAATATTTACATAAATCACATGATTATGTGAAAATCAATAAATATTAAAGCCCAGTTATAAACAAACAAATAATTAATGATTTATAAAAACTAAATAAAATCAATATGTTAAACATGCACAATTAAATAAACAACACTCAATAAAACTATTCATTGATACTTAATTACAAACAAAATCATATTGGCATTATTATATACTAATTATTGTGCTAATTATTCTAAAATTATCACCATGTTCTACCCCTCCCACACCCCCTATAGACACGAATACCACATTGAATACAACGAAAACAGTCCACTAGTGGAGCGGCAAATCAGTCGCCGGGCGTTTGACTTATCCATATCGTCGGCCATAAGCCGATCAATAGAGTGCTCAGATGTATGGAAATACAGGCACCACAACAATAACAATCGCGACAAACGTGGTCAAAATAAATATGGTAACACCATCACAGCTGGCAACGTTGCCAACACCACAGAAAACACCGGGGCCGGTTGGGTAATGGCATCGTGCCTATTGGTGAACGCGGCGCTCGGGGCGGGTCTACTCAACTACCCGGTGGCGTACGACCGGTTGGGCGGCGTTGGCATAGCGACGGTCATACAATTGGTCATGCTACTGATACTGGGCTCCACCATGTTGGTGCTGGTGTACTGTGCCGATTTGAACGGGGTCAGCACTTACCATGGTGTGCTGGAGAGTATGTGCGGCCATACAGTGCGACAAATGTCGGCCGCGTCGATCATGATCACTTGTTTTGGCATATGTGTGACCTTTTTGATTATCATCGGTGACCAGTTTGATAGGCTATTTGCAACTTTTTATGGTCACGAGTTTTGCCGCACGTGGTATTTGAACAGAATGTTTACCATAGTGTTTACCGCGATGGTGACTATATGGCCAATGTCCTATTTTCGTAGGCTGGATTTTTTAAAACACACTAATCTGCTTGGTAATTATTATTTTTAGTTATTTTTATTTTAATTCTTTTAAAGTATTTAATTTTCATCAAATAAGTTATAATAATTTTACAATTATCTAATTGTTTTTATAAATAATAAAAATAATTTTAGACCCAATAGTTGAATTCCCAAAATATAATTCTATATAATGTCTAACAATATACATTTAATAACATTACAAATTATGTACAGTTCTGTAAGTTCAAAATTATTTCAACATTATATACACTTTTAAATTAATAATTTAATATTAATTTAATGAAATCTTTTAAGTGACATTTTTTTTTTGCAATTTCTAATTATCTTAATAAGCCATAAAAATAATTAAAATAAATTAACGCTTGGATCCAAATATACCAAAATAAAATTGTCAATTATGTCAAATATTGTACATTTATTAAAATTAGAAATTATGTACAGTTTTATGCACTTAAAAATTATCTTCACATTATATGGATTTATATTTCATTACTGATCTAGTTAAATATTTTAATAACACTTTGAAATTCTACAATACTAATAAATAAAACTGCAAAATGAATATATTTAATTAACTTTGATATATTCTGCAGGAGTTTTTGCCACATTCTACGTAATCTTCCTAAACGTATACGAGTACTACCGGCTGGACATAGAGCCCGGGCTCATACGTACGCGCCCAGAAAGTGCCATGAGTTTCATGGCTGCGCTACCAGTGGTGTGTTTTGCGTACCAAACCCACGAGATAGTAGTCCCAGTTTACGCCTGCCTATCCGTACGAAGCACAGGTCAATTTGCCAAAAGCACCGGGCTGGCCCTGGCAGTCCTCTATGTGGTGTATTGCCTGAGCGGTACGTATGGCTATTATACGTTTGGCGGTACAGTAGCGCCAGATGTGATGCAAATGTACAACCCGTTGGATCCGGTGGTTAGTGCGGGAATTGCGGCACTAATTATCAAAATGATTACCACATACCCGCCGGTGATTTTTTGCGGCAGGGACACTTTTGTGGGATTATTTTGCAAGGAACCAGGTGTGTTTTGTTTTTATTTTTTTCAACATTATTATGATAATTTATAGTGTATTTTAATGATATTTTAAAAAAATTAAAGAAGTCTCTTTAAAAATGCAAGATTATTGTGTTATAAAAATTGTTTGCGTAATGTTTAAAGTACATCGCTATTTTTATCATTATCAAATTATTGCAATTGCACGTGATTGATTAGAAATCGGTGATTAGTATTTTAAATTTTTATTGTAAATAATAAATTTATTTATTTATGAATTATTAAATCTATTATATCTATTAAAAATTATTATCTATTAAATAGCATGTGATTTATAACTAAAAATCTAGCACACAATATTACAGACATTATATAATAATTACATAACTTTATAGTAAGGTACACTTGAGTTTATAAATTATCGTACATTATACGCTGTAGTACACTATTTAAAAAATGTTTTAATCTGATTATGATTAATATAAAATCTTAAAACAAAAATCATGTGAATTTATTGTAAATATTTGAGAGACATGACCTAAAAATGTGATTTATTTAATAATAAGTCTATTAAATGGTTAATAGATATTATATTTTGATAATGATAAAGTGCACAAAGCACGTAACCAAGTCTAATAGCGATAAGAATTATATTTATAAATACCATTAAATAAACACCATGATAAACAATAACAAAAACCAAACCCTCAATAAATACCAATAAAAACAACTATTAATTACGAAAAATAAACAATAAATTAATAAATCAATTGACTATACATTACAGAACCCATACCCATAGACCAACCATACAATTCCCGGGAATATTGGCTCAGGGTGGTTATAACCAGCACGTGGAACATGGTGGCCCTGGTACTGGCCCTCGTCATACCTAACATAACAATTGCTATCGGCTTTCTGGGCTCATTGGCCGCGTGCAATGTTTTTATATTTCCTGGTCTATGTATGACTGCTTTAGCCAAGCGTAATTTAGAGTCCGACCACGGTTATCTGGCCACTCTACACCATCATCAATCAACATCAAATGGTTTGGACAGTAGTAAACCTAATGGGTTGGTCACCCGGTATTTACCCCGAGGGCTGTACGCGTACGGAGTGTTTATTATAATAACCGGTGTTTTCATGTTTTTTATTATACTATATCAAGTGGTCGAAGATTTGGGCGCTGAAAATACCCATCATGTGTTATGTCAATAGTAGTAATAATGATAATACTTATTGTAATAATAAGAATAATGATGGTAATAATTTATTTAATGTTTATATAATAATATATAGACTATGATTTTTATTTATAAGATTTTATTTTTCTATATTGTTGTACTTTTTATTAGTAAATAAATATAATTGTTTATCTAGTGGTTTACCAAATAGCAACCCGCCCCTCTAGCTCCTGTAATCTAAGCTAGAACTATAACCTCGGCATATGTAAGAATATATTTGTAATTTTAAAAAAAAATTTATATGTAAAATAAATTAACAAATTGAACTTAATCTTAAAATTTACCGATTTGATGTAGCTTATTTCGTTGATTAATATATGGAAATTTGATCCAGGTATTTTTTACTAACTATATATTATTAATATATAATTTAATAAATTATAATATAATTATTATAAATGTTTAAATTTTAAAATTAGTCTGTAATGCTGTTTGATTGTAGTAATGTATTGCAATAATGTATAGCAATAATAAGTATATAAACTGTAAATAAAACACAAATACATCAATAATTTATGTAATATGCAACTTTAGTAAAATATTTCGGTGAAGTTCGCCAAAGACAACTTTAAAAATACTTTCAATGAAAAATTATTATATTTTTCTAAATATTATTTGAATTAGTGTTGCAATACTAGTGCCGGGGTTAGCACTTCGACCGCATTCAAATGTATTTATAAATAACTACTAAAAACTATTTAATAATAAAACAAACAAAAATACTAAATCAGTAATCACAAATTAAATGCGATCAAGTCACATAACTTATTAATCAAGGCATTTAATTATAAACAAAAAGTATTTGATCCAATTGACCAAACGCATTCTCCAGCGCGATTTTAGCTGTTTGTAAATATTGATACTTTGCGGGCAACTGACCATCAGGGCTCGGGCGGGCGAGTATCTGACCATTTACAGCGGCCATCATTGGTTGGTATAAATCTTGATACCAAGCTCGATTGCACCGCTGATAAGCCAGCTGTGTATCATTGTTAACCATATTGGGATAATCGCCCACAGCACCGCCATACTGAGCGCTTACCTGAGCTAGGTCATCGGAATAGTGGCCTGACTGGGCGTTTGGTGCGCTGGCAAACAAGGCTCTCATAGTCGCTGCCAACCCTATCAATAAAGTCACAAATAGATTGCATTATAAACAATGTTGTTTTATATAAGTTATTTTAGAAAGTATAATTAAAATGTAAATTTTACATATAATGTACATGTAAATTATTTTTAGATAAGTATTTTTTTAATTAAGCAAGCATATTTATTAGAACCCCGAATATATTACTTATCATTGTCTGACGGACTCCGGCCAACCAGTTATTGTAGCTCGAGTTTAGGTCATCGTGGTAATTTGTGTCAAACTTTGTATCGCTCGCGATCATTTCAAAGAAATCTGGTACATAAGTTCGCATGGCATAATCATACCATACGGTGCTTATTATTACCAAGTTTCTAATAAATATATTTAAGTTCATATTTGTAAAACAAGAAATTTAATTTTGATTGGCAAACTATTCAAGTTATTGTTATTATATTAAATTGTAATATGTTTTTGCCCGCTATTTATGTTACATGACCATAAGTGCCCGGTTTGTACACGATCGTGTACACAGCATTATTCAAATGTGTTATAATTTATACACTATTCGCGTATTATTCATAGATAGTGTAAAGTAATATAAAAGTGGGGTTTATTATAAACCTGAATAAACCATTTGAATAAACTTTTATTAAATATAATATTTTGAGTATTCANGTTTATTATAAACCTGAATAAACCATTTGAATAAACTTTTATTAAATATAATATTTTGAGTATTCAAAGGGGAGATAATTATTATAAATACAGTAACGCTTATCTTGAATTAATGCTTAAAAATTGACTCGATCATTCAATAATCATGTTAAATTAATTTCAACCCTGCCCTCCCTCTAACCGGTGTTGTACATGACTATTCATGTGTTTTATCTAGAATCCATCAAAATTTAATATAAATGTCAAACAGGCAAATGGGACAGTATAAATCTAAAGTGATTTATTTAGAAAAACAATGCTGTAATTGCAAATACTTTATTTAATAATTATTTTTGTTTTATTTTTATTTATTTTCTACTAAATCGATAAATTTTAAAATAAAATATCTGTTTTAAAGTTTATTTAACTGCAATTTAATAAAATAATAAATAAAATCACGTAACACGTCGTTCCTAAGTTTAACATTATACATTTATATGCCTATTTATACATTTATATGTTATATATTACATTTATATGCCTATTTGCATGCCTTGTACGCCAACCTACTGGAGACTGGCCAACAGCGCGTTCCCGGACACACCTGGTAAACAGTATATGTTAACCAAGTTTGCCATCTATATTGTTCGCTAATAATGTTGTGCAAAAGCATCCAGATGTTTGCCGAGTGTATTAACTCGATCGTCGAGTGTTTAACAATATAGAAAAATTTTATTTAATATAATTACATAATTGATATTTTTTAAAAATAATTTGATTCAATTAATTTACTGTTACCCAATAATTTAATAAGATGAAACTTGACATAAAATAGTAACGTATTTACGCATTTGTTACAGTTTATAAACTTATTAGTTATTATTTTTGTAAACTTATTATGAACTAATAAATTATTACAGTATTTTAAACGACCAATATTTAAGTCTATTATTTCAAAAGTCGCACATTATTAATCACCAAAGCATCATATTTTAACTATACAAATTGTAGTAACTATCAGTATTGTAATAACTAATATTTTAGTGGTTAATAACATTAGCCTGAGAGTTGATATGTACACAGATCATTCAATTAGGGTCATTTTAGCAAACTTTAATTTTAACTATAAATAACTATTTCATGGGTAACTAACTATTTGAATGATAAACAAATATTAACAAAATGTTTGACCAATATTTGTAATAATGAACTAATTTTTACTAAAATTTGATTTAAAAAATAAGATAAAACTTTTATTAATTTACTGTAAGTTGTATAAAATCTAAAATAAAGTAGTATCGACACATTGTTGCATTTATTTAAGCGTACTACCAATCATATTTTTGCATTTATATTATATAGATATTAGTTATGGTAATTATAATATCTGCATAAATATTAATGTTGATTTAATAATCAAATCTATTATTATTGCTAAACCACTTCATAATATGTATATAAAAACAATTCATAATAGTGATTTAATTTAAATAAAACATTGTCAAATAATGAACCCTGTTGTGTTAATAACCCAATGTTCCTAAAACTAGGCACAGTAAGTATTACTTTAACAATAGAAAATTATTTTTTAAATTTGAAGTACTTCAAAAATCACCATAACAAATATCTATAAGTTATAAATGAGTAAATGAAATAGAGTACTTACAATATTAAATGCCACATTGTATTTGTAAACTATTAAAATTTGACTGTTACTAAATGACATTTAATTGCAAAACTAATTATTACAACGTGGTTTTATTTGTAATTTATTGTTAAAACGGACAAGATGGAAAATTGTGAAGCCCAATTTTTACTGGATAAAAACAAAAATTACCAACGTGGTTATTATACGGGGTGTCAGCAAACAGTATCGATAGAACTGTCAATTAATAAACTAAATGATAAAAATCAAGGTATTTCAAAAATCAACAAACAACATGGTATTACTTGGATATCAGGCGCATTTTTAATAATCAATGCAACGGCGGGCAGCGGTTTGGTAACTATACCCTACATAATGCACACAGAGGGTGGACTACTATTATCGACCTTGTTGCATTTGGCAGTGATTGTGTTTACATTGCCCACCATATACATTTTGGTATATTGCGCCAATTTGTACAGGGTGTCTAACTATCACGATGTTGTGCGCGAGACATGCGGTAAACTCATTGAACGCATTTCGGCCTTGCTAATCGCGCTGTACTGTTTGACCTTGTGCATTACTTTATTAGTTACCATAGGCGATCAATACGATCGACTGTTTTACACACTATACGGTGCAAGGTTTTGCGATACCTGGTACATTAATAGGCAGTTTACTATATCGGTAACAACCCTGATACTGATCTGGCCTCTAAGCTACGCTAAATCGTTGGAATTTCTAAAACCACTTAACCAGATAGGTAAGTAAATATAGAAAATTATAAAAATTTAATAAATTAATTTATATTTTTTGTAACATACCTAGGTGTTTATGTGGTTGTCTATTTTATTTATTTAACAATATATAAATATATTGACTTAAAGCCAAAAGAACATGCACAAATATTACCTAAAATACCTGGGTTTTGGCTACTCTACAAAGGTGTTGTGTTGCAAATGTTCATGTACCAAAGTAACGAGCTCATTGTGCCAATATTTCACGTGATGGCTGAGAATAAAATGAAAAATTTTACCAAGGCATTAATCGTATCACTGGTGGCGCTGTTTATAATGTACACGAGTATTGGCACATTTGGTTACTTAACATTTGGCAACACTATTGTGCCGGACGTCATGAAACTGTACGACCCGTCCGATGCCTTTGTGGCCGCAGCCCTCTGCGCCCTAACCGTCAAAGCCGTCACAACATATCCATTGTTTTTGTTATGCGTTCGAAATACCGTAAATGAATTACTCGGCAATGATCGAGGTAAAAAATTATAGTATAATAAAACCCAATGTTTATTATATACCAAATATTTTATTATTAAAATTATAATTAATTGATTTTTACAGTTTTGTATAAGTATATTAAGATGAGTACTTTGGTCACAACTGGTTGGAATATAGTGATCTTGGTAGTTGCCGTTTATACTCCAACAATAGGCCTATCAATTGAAGTAACAAGTTCACTAGGTGCATTTATTGATATAATGTTACCTGGTTTATGTATGATTATGTTGGCCTACAAATGGCGCTATAGTAAAATTAAGAAATCAACTATTTCATTAGGTATTAGCGGATTATTTTATATAATTGCAGGTTTTATTATTTTTATCATGATTATATATCAGTTAATTTATGAAGGGTCTAGTCAACAAAGTCTATTATTGTGTGTACCCAACGAATAATTTATATACAATATCTAGATTTTTAAATTTATATTACTTATTTTACTTATATTACTTATTTTTAATAACATTATTAAACACTTTTACATTAAATAAAATTTATAATTTAAAACATTTATATTTTTTGTTTTGTTTAAACAATGTTTATAAATACATAAAAATTAAGATCATTTTTAGAACACAAATATTAAATAATATTAAACAAATATTAAACAAATTTTAAAATTATTTTAATTATATTTATAAAAGTTATAATTCGTATATTTTCTGTAAAATTATAAACAATTACAACTTTATTAATTAAATCACGTCAATCATGGGTGAGTTATACAAATGGATAACAA